TCAATCTCCACCTTTGACTCACTTAACATCATAAAAATAAACAAGTTTGATGGTTCTCACTGCCTATAAGTCTAAATAAACATTTCAGCATCGTACATAGGACCACCACAATCTGCCCAAATTTCTAGCTAACCTCTTGCTCCTCCTCATCATCCTGCACTCCACTCATCTTTTTATCATTATCTGGACACAGCATGAGTTTCTGCTCATGAATTCCTATCTCCTTAAAATGGTATCCTCTTCTTCCTCTCTACCAACTGAAATGTCACTGTATTTGCAAAGGCCTTCCAGAAATCCACTTCCTTCAGGTAGAATTAATAGTTCCTGCTCATTATCACACTGAATATACCTCTATCAGAGAACTTGTCCTACTATATATATTTTTGCTTGCTCAGCATGTAACATCCACAAGTAGAGGGATAATGCCTTATTCATCTCTGAAGTCCCAACACCTCAATAGTAAGTTATGAATGTACCTAACATTTTACAACTAGAATTCAATCTGTGTGGAAATCTTACTCTCAACAGTGTGCATATTCTCTCTGGATGGTACATGGATGCATGTGTGTTTCTGTTGCAGTATATTATACATATAGATAAGTGCACAAATCATAAGTGTGCAGCTCCATGAATTTTTATACAGTGAGTACAAGCTGTGTAACCAGTATCCAGATCAAGAAACAGAATAATACCAGAACTTCAGAAGCCCTCTTGTATCCTCTTTTAAGTCATTAATCCCCACACATGGGTAATCAATATCCTGACTTCCAACACCAAATTTTTAAACTATTTTTACTTTAAGGAAATGAAATCATAGACTATCTTTTATATCTGCTTTCTTTTGTTAAACATTATGCTTTCTATATCATTCATGTTTGTTTCATGCTATTTGAAAAACATCTGATCACTTCAAACTCCCTTGCCTACTATTGCTTGCCAACAAAATAAATTTCATTGAAGTTTAGGTCTTCCAGAAGGAACTAAAGCATTTTTTAATGAAAAGGAACTTAGCCAACTTCCTTTACTTTTTATATAAGAAAATTAAGGTCCAGACTGGTAAACAATTTGGTCAGACACAGTGCTGGCTGGAATAATGATGAGACTCATTTCTCATCTCAAATGAATTTGTAAGTCGAGTTACATAATTAATTAGTAGAATATAAGTTCTATGAAAGTAGAGATATTGTTCACTGATGTATTCCAGGCCTATAACAGAGCCTAGAAGATAGTAGATAATTAATATTCATTGAATATTTTATTCATAGAAAACATGGAACCAATAAAATGCTATTCAGTACTTCAACAAATGGATATCGTCATCAGCAATATTGGTCGTTAATATGAAGAGTCCTAATTTACAAGGTTACGTTTATGCAAAAAAGATTTTCATGATATACAATTGCTCCTACAAGTACATTTAGTCTAAAAACATTATAAATATTATAAATTTGACAAACTTTTAGACCAAAAAAATCTTGTAAGATGTATAGGTCTTGAGCAAGGCTGCATTAACAGTGATCCTATTTGTGCTCAATATCCATAATGCCTCCTGCTCTTACTACTTAAAATGTGAAGACAAAACACAAATTATTTTTTAGAAAAGTAGTTTTGAATCCAAAGATTTTGGGTAGCTCAAATATTAATGCCATACAATTGGTATTAGATAGAAATATAATGGTTTGAAGTGTGAATATCTTCACATGTAATAAATACCCCTTCACAGGTATGTGTATGGGTATTATTTATATAGGCTGGTATTATAAAGAAATTTATTTTTTAAATGGTTAGAACACATGCAATATAAAGGAGATGCAATGTAAAGGAGAGCTGCCATTAATACAGCGAATCAATCAACCAACACTTAGCAGATGACGATATAGTTACTCTAGGAATGCTGATCTTGCCAAAACGTTTCTGGAATTCCTCTTTGGGTCCTGCTTTCAGAATTAATTTAAAAGTCTCACAAGAAAACTAGGGCCATCACTTCAGCACACTTTGTTTTTATTTTCCTAGTTTGATTCTCAACCTTATCATGTGTCAAACACTGTGATAAGCTCTTACATATATCATCACATTAGAGGATTAAATACAACTCTATGAAATATGTGTTATTATCTCCGATTTTAAAGATTAAGAAGTTTAAAACTTTGTTCAGTCTCATAACTAACTGGTTAAGCTAAGACTTGAATCCTGATCTGATTCCAAAGCTCATGACTTCATTATCATGTCACATCGCTGACTGAGTTTTCTGGAGACCAGACCATGTTCAACTCACTCTCTAGGGCCTACCATGGGTACCTTACACAAAACAGACCATAAACAAATGCCACTAAATGACCTTGACTAATAGATGACATATACTATAAAAACAATTCCTGAAGGAAAAACAAAATTTAATACAACAATAGCATCATGACCTCACAATCTAGCTTCTTAAGATGACTAATTTGAAGGAAACCAAACCTGCTACATTTGTTTTTAGGTGATTATTATTCCACAGTTATACAGTACGACATGTTCCACAAACTTATGTCTTTACTTTCTCTTTCGTTTTTTTCATGTCAAATCACCCACATGGATCAGAAAAGCTTCCCCTCAATTCACATAACAATTTATGCCATAGCCACAAGGCTTTGGGTCCTAATTTCACAAGTGTGCTAAGCAATTTTTGTGTCACCATCCTGCCAAGGCAAAAAGTCTCTTAGTAATAGCATTGATTCTGTGCTAATCTGCACTGGTGTTCTTTCTAAATAATACTACACACGAGTTTGAAAGAGCTAAGAGGTATGTGCTTTAATAGTAAAATTTTATTCATTCCTAAATTAAATATAGTTTTCAAAAAGGCAAGAGATTAAAAAAACAAAAGAGGGAGGTACAGGGCCCAGTTATCACTTCTTTACGTCTATGTCTTTCTCTACCCCACAACATGGCGGAAAATAACAAAATTAGAATGACAGTGTGCTACACGCTACAGAGATATGCTTTATATATTTTTTAGTTTCTTGGTTTAAAAAATGCACATCCTGTACTTTTATGCAATGCAATTATTTGCAACCCGCACCTTAATCTTATTTCTAAATTCTTAAAATACTGAGCCATCCTGAATTCCTCTCAGAACATCCTAAAGACGAAGACTCTTTGGGCCTCACTAGACTATCATGAGGTCCTTTACCTCTCCTGATTAGAAAAACTCTTACTTATAGAGTTAAAAAAAATATTAGAATGGATTCCAGAAATCTAAATCAACTCCTTCCTTTAATGAATGTAACAGGAAAGATTAAGTGGTGGTTCCAAAGTCACAATGCATTCCCAGATCCCCTTCCAGGGTTACCATAGCTCTTGTAAAGCTGGGAAATATGATCTCATAGAAGAGCTAACTCAGTGAAATGGGCTTAGGGATTTACCATGCTGGAGAAAGGCTGGCATTATTTCAGAGATCATCACCTGGTGGTAGTAAAATCCTGAACCACAATTTTAAGGGAGAGATGGGGATGTTATTTGACCTAGGCTGTAGTTTGCAATCATATAAACAAACACCAAGCAATAGAAAAGACAAGACAGAGCTGAGAGGTAGGGCTAGAATGTGTGAACGGACAGGATAAAGAGAAAGCAAAACAAACAAGTCCAAAGCTGGAGATACATTTTGAAGGCCCAGAGGTGGGCCTTCTGCAGAGCAAGAGAAAGCCACTGGAATGATGTGATAATAACGATCATACAACCAGGCATCCTGTCTTTCTCAGACTCAAGATACCTGCCCTGATCTAACAATCCCTTCCATCATAGCTTAGTAGAGACCACAACTCCATGTCTATCTGGCCTTCCCTAACATTCCTAATTTTCCGTCTTCTTCTCTGATCTTTTCCAAATGAGACAAATCTCAATAATCCCCAAACTTTCCATTTCTCTTCCAGCCACTTCAATATGCAAATGTCCGTCCCCATTTCTTGACCTCCATATCCCTCTCCACTGCATCCCACAGCCCTTTAATCGCATCTCAGTACTTTCCCTGTAATTCTACTTCACACAATACCCTCAGACCCATTTAAATACTCTTACTCTCTAAGTTCTTTCAAATACCCTGATTCCCATTCCTCTCTAAAGGCAATTCTCCCATCCTGTGCTTGTCAATCTCTGCCTCCCAACCTCTGCCTCCCATCCTTCCCACAGATTCTGTTCCAATTCCCTCACACAGTTATTAGTCTCCTCCATTTCTCTACAGTTCTTTCCAGAACCCTGCCTCAACAGTTCTAAAATCCATCTTGATTTCCCAAACTGCTCAATGAGCAAATATTCTGACATCCTAATCCATTCCAATACTCTGACTTCTGTTTATTCCCCTCTTCAAACAAAATACTCAAACCTCCACCCAACCCTCTTATCTGAGCCCAATTACCTATCTACTTGCCTTTCCCTTCTAACAACCCAACATCTGTGTCCTTCTCCATCCTATTAACATCCTAAATTCTCCTCTCACATCTCTCTCCATTCTACTCAGGTATCCGAAAACCCAAGCTTCCTATCCCTTTCCATTATTTTACTTACTCATTCAATTTTATTTAGCAACTTTTATGTGCCAAGAACTGTGCTAGGCTCTAAGAATATGAAAATCCCATCCAAGTTATTTTAAATTCTAAATCAGTTAATACATGCAAAGGACTAAAGGACTTAGAACTGAATCTGGCACAGAACGTACACTCAAAAGTAATTAGCAACTATTTTCACAAATGAGAAAACATTTGCTCAGGAAGATTAAGGAACGTGCCCAAAGTCACAGAGCCGGTAAGTAACACAAGGTGGTAGAATAAAGACTTGAAACCAAGTTTTGACTTCAAAATGCACCTGTCCCTTAACCATTATACAACAAAGTATTTGCTTTTCCCCTCCTTTTAACATTTCTTCCCAAAATCCTAACATTTTTCTCCATGTACTGCATGCTGCCCCATCCTATGACGCCCGTCCGGATACCCAAATCATCCCGTATCCCTCTCATTCCCCACAGACATCTGGCTCACCTCAGCCCCTCCCTCCTCCTCTCGGTGGCGAGACGCCCACCCTTCTCGGCGCCGCACCCCCGCGTCCACACCTCCCCACACTCTCCTCCTCTACCCCAACCGCCCCCGCACCACCCTCACCCCTGACCTCGCTTCTCATCCAAACCTCCCTGCATCATCCTCCCCACGCCCGTTCCGGGCCCTCCCCTCCTTCCCATCCAATCCCAATCCCCAGGCACACGCCCCCGCCCCGAATCCATCCCACACTCTGTCCAGGCCTTCCTGCCTTCGCCGCCGGCCCCCACCACTCGGTCCAGATGCCAGAGAACGGCCTCGACCAGGCCTGGCGCTCACCGCGGAGGAGCCGGGCCGAGTGGGCCCGCGGGACCAAACCGGGCGGAGACGCGCCGGTCGTTCCCTTTAGGCGCCCAGCGGCGCGGCGGCCA